GTCGAGATGACGTGCATGGCGCTGCTTTGTGTGCAGTTGTAGAAGTGGCGAGGCGCGCAGAAAATGGCGGCGGTGGGCTTTTGAACTAAAACACCTTCCATGCGTGTTCGTTCGCAAGTGCGCCGCTGCCGTTTTCTCAGCGCTGGCGCCCATTTTGCTGTTTGTACCAATGCATGCGCTGCAGTGCTGGGTGCTTTTAAAAGGGCCTGGTGCTGCAGCGCAACCATAGGTACATAGGTACAAATGCCCTGTGTCCTGAGATCGATTTAGTTGACTCTAGTAGGGCTAAAACCTGCCATTTTCCACCCCCCTATTTATTATTGTAGCAATTCCTGGGTGCATCTACATGAGACCTTTACTGTGGAGCTGCCTAATTAGCTCCACAGTAAAGTCTCAGCATCTACATGTGTGGCCCTATTAGACTGCAGTAAACTAATTAACTTTGTCATAGGTTACTCCTTGTAAACACAAGTACTATCCTATGGTGACGTTCTTTAGTGCACGACAGCACACGTGTAGATGCTGGCAGGGCTGGCTGGGGCTGGCAGGGCTGGCTGGGGCACGAGGGTGCCAGAGTGTGCTGGCTAGCCCCGTGCTGGAGCACCCTCGTGCCCCAGCCAGCCCCTCTGCAGCATATTGAACCAGGGCTGGCAGGCTGACCCCCCCACCCCGCTACCAGCTGGGGCTGCTCCAACCCAGATCAGTGCGCTGTGGTTCTGGGCGCACGTGGAAACACGGCGCCTGGGAGCAATAAACTCTGATGCAACATGCGCTGGAGTTATTCATTTCATGTGTAGATGCACCTGAATTCAGGAGCTGGGGCTTAAAGAAAGGCACCAAACATTGTGAACTTGTACTACAATAGCAGGAGTCCGTGACAGTGGCATTGTAACAGATCTATGGCTTTTTTCAGAACCTGGACTGTATCTACATGGGCAAAATGGAGGTTGGGGTGAAGGTGAACATACTGCGGGAGGAGATTGAGTTCCTGAAATGCCTTTACGCAATGGTGAGGAGTCTCTCAACTTTTCCTGGGGGTCATTGAATCTTTGATCCTGTGGGGAACGGCATCTTTAAGAGGCGGTCGGAGGAGCCAGGTGGGCCCTGTTGCTGGGCTGTGCAGACTTGATACTGCAGGGCACAGATTAGTTGGAACTCAGACCCCGGACAGCCTGCACGGCCGGCTTCACTTCCATACTTCAGACCGCTTGGCTGCTTCTAAGCAGTGGGATGAACCCTGGCTCCATCTAAAGCCAAGTGTCCAGTGAAGTGCATTGTCTTCCCAACCCAGAAGCAACCCAGAAAACAATTCACTTTTCAGCCCCCTAGTTCTCCAGGGAGTGATGTGGTCTATGGCATCTCTGTATCAAGCCCAGCTCACTTGCAATGCAGATGTTTTCTCTGGTGCCCTGCGGGGAGGTGGAGTCAAGGGCTTGACCATTTTTCTCCTGTTAGTGCAGGGCTAGGGGCACATAACAGTCCCGCACTGGCTGCTGTTTTCCCATTTCCATTGCTGCCGACATGGTGCAAGCTCCCTTTCACTCCAGGGCAGGTTTGCAAAACAGCACCTTCAGCTGGTCCTTAATTTAGTAACCCACGTTTTTTCTCTGTGAACACAGAAAAGCGGGGTGGAGGGCACCGTCTGGGGGAAGGCACCGGGATCTAACCCCTGAGACCTTGTGGGATTTGCAGGAGCTGTCTGACGTGCAACGCATAGCCCAGGACACCAATGTTGTTGTGTCCATGGACAACTGCCGAGACCTGGATGTCGAAGGTATCATTGCTGAGATCAGACGAGAGTATGAGGGCCTCGCGCAGAAGAGCCAAGCCGAAGTGAACGCCGTGTACCAAAGCAAGGTGAGCATTCAGCTGGATAACGCCTGGGACTTTGCTCCATCCTCTTACTATTCCTGAGGGGCTTGGGCCTATAGGCTATACAGACCTTTCTTGGAAATGGTGGAACAAACTCAACTGTCTTCTTCTGTTTTGGACACCAGTACCAGGACCTTCACAACACATGGGGCAGGCACTGTGACAGGCTCAGGACCAGACAGCACGAAATCCAGGAGTTGACCAGGCTGATCCAGAAACTGAGGCTGGACATTGGAGATGTAAAGAAAAAGGTAGGGTCAAGGCTTTCTTCTTTTGAACCTCCCAAGCTCAATTCACTGTGGCTTCCCTGCGTTGACAAACCCGCAGGACATCGCTTCTCTCCAAGGTGACGTAAAAGAAACCGAACGAAGACCACCCAAATTCTGAAAAAGGAGCGACCGCACAGCGGGTTTAATGCAGTTTAACTAGCCCAGTTTAAAGTCACACAGTTAATTTGGATGAATGCTCTGGAGTGTCTGTGTAGAGACAAGTCCTTTGAGGCCTATGGGAATATGCCTGCCAAGCTTATTGGGAGCTGGATGTCAATGACAGCCTTAGTTGCACTGGGAGGAAATACGCAGGTCTCATTTCTTTCCCCTACAGAATGCCTGCCTTCAGGAAGAGATTGCTGACGTGGAACGGCGTGGTTGCTGTGCCGTCAGCGATGCCCAGGAGAAACTCCGGGAGCTAAGGTGTTCCCTACTCAAGGCCAAGGACAACTTAGCCCACCTGCTGCGTGACTACCAGGAGCTGCTGAATGTCAAGATGGCGCTGGACATTGAGATTGCCACTTACAGGGCACTTCTGGAGGGAGAGGAGTGCAGGTAGGAGCAAAATATCCACACCGCACCATTCCCACTACCAGCCTCAGAGTGGGAGCTCAGAAAGTTTATAAGTTTGTAGGGGGAAAAACGAATTCCAATGTTATGTCAGTCGTTTTTGCAGATGGGGCCAGGCCTTCGCTGTCTGCTGCAGAGTCTCTTATACATTGCCCTGGCCACGGGTGGATGGAAGAAAGGAAGAGAGGCACAGACAGGCACTGATTTGAAATGAAATGCTTCATTTTGAATGGACATTTTGATTTAAAGAGTTGCTTTGAAAAAGCAAAAAAAAAAAAAAAAATGGAGTCCCCTGAAATTAAATCCCGGGGAAAGCTACCTTTCTGTTAGACCAGTACTGTAGTGGAAGGGACTGCCAAGGAAGTGGTAGGATCTTGTTTGTTGGAGGTATTCAAGAAGAGGACTAGCATTCCTG